TAAATTTCTCAAAAGTGGCTCCTAACTGGATTCAGTGACTAATATGGTTGAAAAAAGGGAAGTTTGAAGTACCAATATCCGCAATAAAACTTGTTACCAACCACGATTTGAAGACTCCAGAGCTTCTGAAATTTGTTACCTTCAATTATCGCGGAGTTGAAACGTCAGAGTTTCCAGTCATTTGTATTAAAATGGCGCTGTCGTTCCAGTTTTTTCTCTCACACAAGCCGTTTTGCGATTTTTCCGTGTTCATGAATATCACAAGTTGTTTTAATTCGAAAAGATTTGGCTCGATGCAGCGAGGTAAACGTTACAGCGAGGTAAGCGAGGTAGAGTCTTGCTAATTTTGGCACTTCCCGTCATAAACTGTTTAACTGTGCAACAATTAGTGCCATTTATTAGCAGAAAACCAGAAACATGCCGAATTGTCTTGTTTCTATAGCTTCTCTTCTGTGTAATGCACAGCAATTCCATTAGTATATATTTGACAATTTCGATTCCCAACTATATATTCACATGATACTATACCTTATAGGGATGATAATTTACGCATTAATGAACACCAGTTCCCATTTTAAATACATTGTGAACAGTTTCTACCATTGTTCTGTCCGACGTTTCATATAAGAGTCCCCACATGCCCTGGCCTACCCACACCCCCAGTACGACTCTGCTCCAAACACAACCCTACCCCCAATCTCGCGTTTTTGTGACGTCATTTGAAAACTCTTGTATGAAAATAAACTTCACCCTTTATTAGCTCTCCTTATTAGACAATTCCAGGTGAAGTTGATATAAAGGTCCTCAAATGACATCACAATAGTGGTGGGGTGGGTGTAGGGTAGGGGTCAGGATAGAGATGGGGTGGGGTCATTTGGAGACTATTTCATATATGACTCTTCTATTAAATTTCAGCCAAGTCCTGGTTGAAACACTAATCAAAACCCTTATTCAAATTATAATCCAATTCAATTGGCATGCACGATTGCAACTGGATCTTTTTATAATAATCAGTATCTATAGTAATCTTCTAGATCAAGTCTTTTTCCAGTTCAAATTCATTTCCAATCGTGCAGAATAGACATACAGAGTTTAGATTATATATTAGCATTGAGAATAATTTCCGGGTTTTCCCCCTGACAATAATTTAATACGAAAGCGTATATAACCACGTTTACCTCGCTGCATCGATCGAAATCTTTTCGAATTAAATTCACTTGTGATGTTCATGAACACAGAAAAATCGCTTAACTACGATGATATTAACGACTTGTGTAAAAAACCGGAACACCAGTGCATTTTACAAGTGACTGGAAGCTCTGACGTCTCAACTCTCCGCTATAATTGAAGCTAAACAAAATAGCCAAATTGTATCAAATTTCAGAGGCTGTTGAGTCTTCAAATTGCGGTTGGTAACAATTTTTATTATGGATATGGGTACTTCAAACTTCCCTTTATTAAAACATATTAGACCCAGAATCCAGTTAGGTGCCACTTTTGAGAAATGTAACGTCGAATTTGATATGTGTATAAAACCGTATTTAGACACATGCTTGTTATCGCTAAAGTGTGCCATAATCGTTCTATAAAAGCATCATAAAACAAGGCAAGTTTCAAAGTAGAATAATATTCACGTTGGTGGATGAAAAAATCATAAATTTTGGTTGAATACTTTTAAAATTATATGTATTTGAATTCAGCTAATTTTTATGCCTGATATAGGCAGAGGATTTTCTGGCCGATGGCGCGGGACCGAAAAATCGCTGAAATTTTAAAAATTAATAAAATTTCAAAATTCCAAATAGTGTTTGTTTGTTCATGGGGTAAATACATTTCATTGTGAAAGTAACAAGGAATTTCATTTTTTGAGCCGAGAGTCATTGGTTGGTTCTTAGAGAGACAGCCTCTTAATTGTGTGTATAACATAATTTAAACGGCCTTTGGAGGAGAAATATGTGAATCAACTCAAACATTTTTGTGAACACTACAATCCTGGGAAAAATTGTGGACAGCGCATGCGGAAATTAAAATACCTGCTTCCCCAATACATACGTGCAAAAACAGCAATTTTTAACTCCCCCGCCCCCTCTTCAATACTGAAAGATTATAAATGGATTAGGTGAAAGCTTTGGTGAAATTCATGTAAAAACCAACATTGCATGGGGGAGACAAAGACGCCTGCAGGGGGGAGACAAAGACGCCTGCATGTGTATATGACCAGTAATACTTTAGTTTACACGTAAGTGTCCACATAATTTTTGCCATGATTGTAGCAGTAAGGATATAACAAAAATATTAGACATCCAGCATATTGTACCTTTAATTTTAAAATGTTTTGCCCTCCAAGTGAAACCCACCTATTAATTATTAAGTCATTCGGAATTAACGTTATCTGAGCTTTTCATTTGTGAGAAAATAGTGTCAACAGTCAAAACTTTCAAAGCTACTCGTTATATATAACCACACAAATGTTTTAAAATTTAACAATATACTCAATATGTTCATATATTGCTTCTTTACTATAGTGTCAGCAAATGATGCTATCTTAGTTGCGATGTAATTGTAACGTCATTTGAGTAGAACAGCACCCTCATTCATAACAGCAACTCCATGCTGCTGTTAAAATATTATTAATTAAATTCTACTGAAGTGAACCTTATAAAACATTTAAAGTGCCTATGCAACGAAAGTTATGTTATTTTAATGTTGCTTTTGTTGGAAAGAACGTTTAAAATGATAGAATAACATCCTTTACAGTTTTTAATGTGAAGTTTCACTTCACACTATTGTGATGGCTGGCAAATTCACACGAATCAGTCAGTCAATCAGTCAGAGAGTAAACTTTCCAGGGGGTGTACACGATTTATGTTCGTAGTGATTTATTGTACTTAGTCGGTACTTTGAAGGTTATTTAGGCAATTTCAGTTAACTTATTTACATATTCTGTTATCCTTTTGCCAAGTTTACAAAAATTTCGAGGAATCGCTTTCGTTATTGTAATTTTTTGTAAATTTTAGAACATTCGCTTCTCATGTTGTGTAAAGGATCTTTACCCTGGAACACCCGATTTTTTCTTTAGTAGCGCAAATGCGCATGCGTTATAAAGCCGTAGATCACGATGGCGTGACGATATGCTAGGAAGGAGTGACAGCACATTCTGTGGTGACAGTGGTGTTTTCAGATGTATAAACATTTCAGACGTGAATATTGAGTAAATCTTTGAAAATCTACGCAAAATACAAATTGATCTTATGCATTACAGGCGTTCAATTAAGTGCGATAATATTAAATCAGAATGCCGATATTATTTTCATAGCACACTCGTTATACAGAGGTACAGTATGTAGGCAGAAGCGAGACAGTGTTGTTTTCAAGTATATAAACATTTCAGACATGAATATTGAGAAAATCTTTGAGATTCTATGCATATAATACAATATGTAAATTTATGTTATGCATTACTTGGCATTAGTGCCCATTGATATTATTTAGACTGTGTATTCATTATACATTGTCATTGACTGTATAAGGGTGCTACATCACAGAATAGATGGCTACACTCAGTGCAAGGAGCGAAAAATTGCATCAGATCTGTATCAGATCAATAAAGCATAAACAACTATTAAACAGAAGCGGGTAAAGGTTTGTACGGCTTTACAAAGAAAATAACTTGCGAGACTAAAGAAATCAGTTGAGTTAGAGCTCCTTATTTAAATGAAAAAGACGAGGAGATAGCCAATGTGTTATCGCCAACGTGTTATCGCCAATTGCTTGGCTCACCAACAAGCTTTATGCAATAGAAGAAAAAAGCAAGGACGTACATGTAGCCAACGTGTACCATCACAGACCTTGTCATTGTTTACTGTCTAGCACAACGCCGTTGTCCAACGGTGCAAATTTGTGTTCAGTTCAAAGATTACCCTAAATCAATCTGTAGTATTCTGTACACATAACTGTATCAAAGCTTGTCAAAACTGCTTTAAACACTGCTTAACTGTGAAACTATTGAAATTTAAAGTGACATTATTCAACACATGCAAAAAGCTGAAAATAGACGTGACACTGGGAAAAGTCGAAGGTCAATGAGACTTGTTATTGTGAAACATGTCACAATTAGGTTAAAATGTGGAAGCGGGTGAAGTGGATCCATGGAACGGATATGCGGATAAAATACAGAACGGATGAGGATAAAACGCGTCCTTTTAACGATGTAATGACGTAGTGCTTATTATTCATAACATATCTTGTACAGCTATTTCAATTATAGTTTTAGATAAATTTAGTATAGTAGTAGCCTCGTGGAGATGCTTTTAGCGACAGTTGCAAATGCAAATGAAAATTTAGAATATGCAAAATTTGGTTGTTGGTGAAACAATTTAAATTTCGAATTGTCGCGTGTAGCATCACAAATTGATAAATTGCATCAGTTTCACAAGGCAAGTTTCTGATGTGTTAGGCTTGTTTCAAACGTCACGCTACTTGTGTGCCGAGCGTATTAAAAGCAATAAATAATGAGATGAAATGCCTTTGGTAACTGTTTATTTCATTGTGTAAGTCATCGGGTTTTCTAGGTTGTCGGCAACCCTATATAGTTCTTGCAGTGTCTTTTTCAATTTGAAACTTTGCACTATCCTTGGATCCCTAGTTCCATATCTTGAGGTTTGTTGATTTTCAAATTACACATCTAATAACATCACGCTGCATAATGAATTATTGAATGATTGGGTTTTGTTACAAAGATATTTATTTAAGTCATTTAAAACTTCTTTTGTTGCGTTTAGTCTGGCAAAAATACCGAATGTAACCTCAAAGTTATGCAGTGTGATGTCATTGGTTGTGTGATTAGAGAATTCAACCAACCTCAACATATCAAGAATAAAAGATGTGGAAAAACTGTAAAGGATGTCATCCAAGTATTGTAAAGTTCTTTCCAAAAAAAAGTAAACTTTTAATTATATAATTTTCGTTGCACAAGCACTTTAAATTAACTATAAAAACGTTTATAAAATGTAAGCGTCCATATCGGAATCACTGTCATCACCATTTAGGATGTCGTCGACCGCATCAGACACAAGGTCAGAAAAGACTTGCTCACCATTCTCGCACTCAGTGCATTTACAAAGAGGTCCACATCGCATGTTTTGCGAAAAACAGGAACACAATTGGGCAGAGCATTTTGTCTTGCGACATGAGCAATAAATTTGCTCGAGTAGTTCCGGGGGAGCTACGGCAACAGTCATCCACTGATAAATATGTTTAAATAATAATAATAATAATTTAAATAATAATAATTCACCGTCTGAAGAAATCCATCCATGGGCAATAGGATTTTCAGCGTTTATCACCGGTTCCAATGATCTGCACAGTATGGTAATTTGCCCTCTTTGTGTGCTGGGTGACTTCATCCATGATGGGGGGGGGGGGGAGCTTGGAGTCCAAACAGAACTTTTTCATGAAAATTCTAAGTCGAACATCCAGCAACGAAGGTAGAATACTCTGACGGTTGTACAGCTGGCAGAGAAACTGATCCAGAACATCCATTGGAACATTGGAAATAGACCATTCTTGCCCAAGGGTGGTAAAGGCGGAGATGTATGACGGATTGGTGATCATAAGTTTGTATGAAGTCACTTTCCCCCTTCTTTCCAGCAGCTGACGCTGTCGCAGCCAAGTGAATGGGTGTAAACCCAGCAAAGCTTCCGCCACTCCATCTCGTAAAATGCTGACTACCGATTCAATGTTATAGTTCTCAAGTTTGCCACATTACCACACTGAATACACAGTTTTCCAAAAAATAGTTTATTGAGGCCGATGCAAATGATGAGTACATCTGTGTCATCAGACTGGATCGTAACTTCTTCATGTTGAAAGGCATGCAAAGCGTGCAATCCCATCCTAGTGTCAGCTTCCTTGTGGTCAGAGAATAAGACACCTACTGACTCCACAGTCAAGTTCGTCGCTGATGCCTTGAACTTGTGACACTGACTGACAGCCATGTACGAAGTATAACTCAACCTCTTGAAGAAAACTTGGATCGATTGTCTTCCAATGGTCAAAGAAAAACTCTTAAGCTTTCCTTATTTTTTCCCACAGAGAGAAATTTCTTGAATTGCTTTGGGGTCTTCTTTGAACCATGGTCAACTTTTAAATGGATAACAGAAGCTCCTTTTCCTTTTCGCCTCTCTCTCTCTCAGCATTCTTAATTGCTCAAATCAGGGTATCGGTCAGCAACAAAGTCAACTCTGGTGCAATGATGTTGAGTAGCTGTAGCTATCACACTCTTCAGTACTTTCACAGACAATGCATCGAATGTGATGGGAATGTCCTTCAGACGTTGAATTAGAGCCATGGCATCAATCCAAGCAGTGGAACCATTCAAATTCGTTACGTCTTCAACATTCTTCTCCAGTCAACAGCCTATGGCAGACTTGTCAGTCTTAGCTAATGTACCGTCATAGTTGGCAAGCGACAATGGCACTGGGTACAGAGGGAAAGACAGTATGTAATTCAAGTCCAAGTTATTAGACTTGGCGACTATCAGAACTCGGGCAAGATCTCTTGCTGTAGTTTGTAACACTGTCTTTTCCGATTTTGCCTTAGTAGTCTTAGTGGTTGATGAAAACGTTTTGAGTTTCAGTGCTGTGAATACATCAAAAACCTCCAGTTCCTTTTTCTTTAGGCGTAGATCAATGTACTCAAAGCATTGTTCCTCTCCAGCAGTTTTGGCTCGTGCAATATCTTCTTTGGCCTCCGGTGACGCAACGGCGCCAGAGACAATGTTGACCAACTCGTCATCCTCTATGGAAACCGGATTTGTCATTGCCTCTATGGTACTGATCACACTTTTCACTGACTTCTTATCGTGTAATCTGATATCCATTTCTTTCCTTTGATGTGTATGATTACCACGACCAGCCATATTCTCACATATAGATTGAATCTCTGCTCTATCAGCAAAACTTTTAATCCATCGATGGACAGCAGATTTGTTAATTGAAAATCCAATCATACCACCTTTAGTTTTGGAATTCTTATTCAGTGTCTGCTCGAGAGTTTGGTCCATTGGAGTCTGGTTGAATGGCTGTGATGTACGTTGGGTTGCAAAATTTCCAGCAATCATTTGCTCATGAATATCTGGATTACTGGTTGGTAAGTTCAGCATTTCTAACCAGTATACAGGTAGGTAACGAGAATAGTGCACACGGTCATATGCAAAAATCCAGGGTAGCATGCGTCGAGCTGAGGTGCAGAAACCAATCACCCGTTCTGGAAATAGAAACAGAAGTAATTTTTATCTGTTTATAATTACATTACACAGCGTATTATACCTTTGTGATCTCGAACTATTAAAAAAGGTCGCATTAATCACAAAAACCCATAAAATAAAAGCATAATAAGTGTTATAGTCTACTAACCTAGTTTCCCTTACGAATTCCAATAGTATATCTACCATTTCAAGGAACTCAACCAATATGCAAAGTCGGACTTGACTTTCCCTTTTCACTTGTAAATTCATTTAGTTTTCTCAGGATATTTCGGACATCATCACTCTCTGCAACTTCAGTAAAAGTTCCATTACTAAAAGCTGCCTTCAGATCATGTACTACATATTCCAATGAATTTCTCTCATCATCGGACATGAAATCTAAAAATGCGGTGATAACAAGACAATATATTGCCTCATAGACGATTTTCATTGATCTTATACTATGGTTGTAGTGTTTTCCTGACAAAACACCATTTATAGATCCTTCTGCGACGATATTGCTTTCAATGAGGATGTCACGTAAACCACCATCTTGAAATCGTTTGCCAATCACCCCCAGAAAGCACATTATGACATGGAATTCACCAAGTCGTAGAACTAATCGATTCTGAAACAGATCATCGGTCCAACGGATCAACTGAGCTTTAGCATATACGGCTTCATCCATGACAACAACAATGGAATTTTGGTTCAGTTTGTCTGCTATGTCTATGCTTTGTGAAAGAACAGCATTAACGACACCAAGATCTGTAGGACTGCCATCAATAATAGGAAGATAGCCAATCCGACTCTTATCAGGAACCAGTGTCGTGAGCTGTATAAAAAATCCACTCCATGATGGTAAAGGTACTACTTCTTCACAGTGGCTGTATTTCTGTACTCGATACCTCCACTCGTTTCCCCCTTGACTTGGAAATTGCCTGACGATTTTCATCATCCACTACATGACCTTCAGACATTTGTTGTATAACTATACCAGTGGTGCAATGTGTTGTTCCTTTACCACTTAGTGTTTCTTTGTTTATGTCATTGTTGTCAAATACACATGTGGTAAATGACTTACTGAACCTGTGTGGTATAACACTGCTTTGCTGTGCACGGTATCTGGCAAGATCTGAGTCATAATCGATGGCTGCCTTGGTAGACATACAGTGCCCCAGTCCTGATACAATGTCAATTAATTTTGAACTGCCAGTAACATGTCAAATGGTGAGGCCAAGAATAAGATGCTTGGGTACGATTCTTCTTCCTTTGGACTTGAGAAAGATAATGTCCTGACAGATGGACAATATCTTCTGACGATCACTGTCCGTTGTCAAGCTCTACAAATTTTTTCTCACTAGCGAAAACTGGTTCACTGCATGCACCAGTTATCCAAGCCAGGAAACTAAACAGTTCAATTAAAAGTTCAATTTTTTGTGCAGCGTCTCCCGTGAGATCGGAGGCCAACAGGGGGTTTGGAACATTTAATCGTGGAGACATTTCAATGGCTCTCTTCACAATTTGGGACGAGATGAATAATTCTCGCTGATCATTGTGTTCTAAATTCCCCATGGTGCGCACTTCATCTTCGTCACTAGATTCCTCTGTTGATGCATGGGCCACAAACATAGTATTTTGTTCGCGACTGCAAACCAACACACAGTTGGCAATGTCTTTGATATATATCAAAGACGGGAATGTTTTCTTCAACTTCCGCTTCAAGTTCCAATTTGAAAAATACAGTGCATCTGCATCTGGCTGCAAATAGCTGCTGTAAATTTCTGCCAATTTCGAGATCTTTATTACTTCACCCCCCCCCTTAATAATATGGTCTTGAATGATTTCACTACAGAATTTCGAATAAGCATCATCAGTTGAGATATCGTATTCTACTGGAATATATGTGAACGTTCTAAAGCAGGAGTGGTGATATTGAGCTACCTTTGCTTTTAAATCTTCCCCTTCAACAATAAACAGAACTTTCTCATCCTGCTTCTTCCGAGCAGCAAACTTGATAGCATTTTCTGCGCTTGACATACACATAGTCAACGGCTCAGGCTTATAAGCCCCTAAGGCAAAAATAACTATTGATCATGTCAAACATACTATTAGGTCAGTGCATATGACAGAAATAACATTGTTTAAATCAGGAACAAAATATATAATGTATATAGGTGAAAAAAGTACAGTCAGAAATGCAATTCAAATATTGTTTATTCTATCTATTAGACAAACGAAGTAAACAACAATACTTTCTTAATAGTTTCAATAATACCTGTTGAACTATCTTTCTTGTATTTTTCCTTTTGACAGATAATGCATTTTTTCCCAAACAATGTCACTGTTGCTTTAACAATATGGCTCACGGTACCTTGACTTTGTCTTATCTTTTTTCTGAAACGCCGCAACCTTATTTAAGAATTAGGAAGTAGGGTGTGGGAGGGGACATCAAGGAAAAGAGAACTCAGCAGGAGTGGTGAACATGGAAACTGTGAACTGATACGAGGGTTTTGGGTATCCCCCAACCAAATAATTTTTGTATTTTTGAACTTCAATGCTTTGGTGTCCCTGCATTTATTTCCCACCTAAACAGACTGAATGTTTTATGATTTGCACTATGTTCAATGTTAATACTCAGTCTTAAAATTATAGAGCCAATCCTAGATGATGATAAAAATCTGCTTTACCGCGGTTAGAATCAAACCCCTGAACAAGGTTGCAGGTTCGATTTCAAACACGGGTTCGACTCCAACCGCGGTTCGATTCCAACCACGGTCAAGCAGATTCCCCAGCTTGCCCGGTGTGGGTCACAGGTTCAATTCCAACTGCGGGAAAGCAGATTTTGGCTTGCCCACTACATTAAATCATTGCAAAAAAATCATGACATTATTTATATTAATTACTATGATCACTAATATTGCTATTATTATGATTAACTACTAACTATTAACTACAACATTTTCAGTAGTGACAGATACAAGCAGAGAAATACACTAAAGTAAGCTGCCTGCAATGTTTAGTTAAGGGAATATTAAAGCACTCTTCTGAACTAAGCTATTCATGTGCTTCCTTGATGTATGAACAACCAAAAGCCTAACCCTATTAAAAGCTAGAGAAAGTCCTGCTCTTCATTTTTTGCATGTATTTTAGACAAAACGGACCATTGATGATGGGGGAGGGAGTTGATAGCACACATTTTCGAAAAATGGCTTATGGGTAAAACAGAGGAACACAAGGACATTGATTTTATACATAGTTTTATATCTCCTGACAAAAATAAACAGTAAACAATTTGATGGATTTTAAGGTGGCTCGCTACAGTTTATCGAAATGTTGAAAATGCGTAAACTAGATCACTTTTTTGAAGAGATGATGCTCTTTACAAATCGAAATTTGTATATTATATATACAGCGACAATCAAACAGTCTAAAATTGGTCAGAAAAGTGACGTCACCACTGTTGCTATGGCAACAATGACGATTCAAGATGGCCGATATTTTGGCTTTGAATGCATTTTACTTTAAAAAAGGTCGGTTACCCCAATTTTTTATTTCAGAAAACATTTTCTTATAGTGCAATGCACTATTCTGACCAATTTTTTTAGAGGCTAAATTGGTTCGAACTTCGGCTAAACGCGTATTTAATCGGAACGTCAAGAAATTAGTCGACTCTATTAACTCTAAAGATACGGCTGCATTAATCGAGAGTAGATTTAAAGATTTGAAGCAGCTCTGGGATGACGTCCAACGGAAGCACGAAGGGTATATAGAATCGCTGGAAAATTCGAAGACGACTTATGATGTTGAGCAAGAGGATGGATGGATTGATGAAATGGATAAAGTTTATGATGACGTGTTACGGCAAAAGTTGGCATACTTTGAGACCGTAGAAGACCGTAAATTTCTAAAGAGAAAAGAAGATCGAATTCGTAAGAAAGAGGGCGATAAAGCTATTTTTCGAGCTGAACAAGCCCGCAAAGTTGAAGAAATCGCATTTAGACAAGACGTGGAAAATCTAGAAGAGGCATTAGCTGCAGAGATAGACAAACCCAATCCGGCAGCATCAATGCTTGAAACGGCAAGAACTGAGCTAAAAAGACAACTTGAAGAGTGTAAAAGGGTTAATGGTGAATATGTTCTGCTACTTGATGCTGAGACAGCTGGTGATGAGATAGCTTGGTTCACGAGTCTCCAAAAGATTTATTCGCAAATATCTAAAAAAATCGGCGACGTTATTCAACGGAAAGTGATACCATAGGTAATGCAATGAGAGGAAGCACAATGAAACTAGAAAGAATGAAATTACCCCAATTCAGTGGAAATATTCGAGACTACCCTCGTTTTCGATCAGATTTTGAAAAACAAATCCTACCAGAGTTGGAATCTGGAAAAGTTGCATATGTTCTCAAATCATGTCTCGAAGGTGAAGCATTTGATGCCATCTACAACTTAGATGATGATGTAACGAAAATGTGGAAGCGATTAGATGAGAAATATGGTCTGCCATCAAAATTAGTCGATGTTGTCGTATATGATATTAAGAATATAAAGCACTTACAGGAAGGAGATGATCAATCATTTCTAGAGCTTATAAATACGGTTGAGAAAGGCTATCAAGATCTAGCCAGAATCAATATGGAATCTGAAATATCCAATAGTGGAACAGTCAGTTTAATCGAAGAACGATTGCCTCGTGACATTAAGCGGGAATGGTCTGGAGAAGTCAACAGATCAACCAGCAAAGTAGAACAGAAAAGTTCCCGTGTCTTCTCCAATTCCTTCAAGAACAAAGAAAGATTATAGAATACGAGTCATCAGAGCTGAGGACTGGAGGGGATCATGCTCACAAAGGTCGTGTCCACATGATTGACTGTGATGGAAAGTTTATTGAAGACAAAGAAGCTACAAAGACGACCAGGTGCTTAGTTCACAGCTCGAGCATGCATAATACGGCCGATTGTAGAGTATATCAAGAGATGGCACCAGAAGGGAAAGTCCAGTTGTTAAAGGAAAAGCGAGCTTGCTGGTCATGCCTCAAGATTGGTCACCGCTCTATTGACTGCAGACAACGCAAGAAATGCAACAGTGATGATTGTTCAAAATATCACCATGACGCAGATGGAAAGGAATCGGGAACTTGCTTGCTGCAGGTGATGAAAATAAAATCAGCTGTCAATGCTGCTCCTTTAAATGTGCTGTGGGACGGTGGTGCAACCATTAGTCTGATCACCTTTGCTAAAGCATGTGAGCTAAGTTTGGATGGAGAGGAAATTAGGCTGTCGGTTGTCAAAGTTGGCGGTGTCAAGGAAGAGATGAGATCATCAGTATACAAACTTCCCTTAATCGATGAATCAGGGGAGACTGTCAAATTCCGTGTTTATGGAATTGATCGGATATCCTCCCCTATGGAGGGAATTAACCTCAACGGCGTGATGCATCTGTTCCAAAACATAAATAAGCAGGAGATTCAGCGAACAAATGGGGAAATAGATGTGTTGATTGGTTATGAGTATGCAGGTTATCATCCTGAGCGGGAGCAATCTTCTGGGCATTTACTTCTGTTGAAAAACCGATTCGGTCGTTGTCTGGGTGGGTCTCACACCAGTATGGCAGAGAACACGCTTAAGCTTATCCAGCATGCTACAGTTCACCATGTTGTGAGGATAAACATTGAAAATTTTTTCGATACTGAATCTCTAGGCGTTGAATGTTCCCCGAGATGTGGAAGTTGTCGCTGTGGACGGTGCCCAATTGATGGGAAAAGCTTCACATTGAAGGAGGAGCGGGAATTAAATTTGATTGAGGAAGGATTGACACATGAAGGCGATCATTGGGTTGTGCGATACCCTTGGATTAGGAGCCCGGATGATCTGCCAAACAACAAAGAAGCAGCTTTGAGAATGCTTGGGTCTACAGAAAAGAGGTTGCAGAAGAACAAACCGCTTCTGGAAACGTACAAGGAGCAGATTCAGGATATGGTACAGCGAAGTGTTGCAAGGAAACTCACACAAGCAGAAATTGAAAACTATGACGGCCCAGTATATTACCTAAGCCACCACGAGGTGCTTAAACCAGAATCCACATCCACGCCTTGTCGAATAGTCTTCAATTTGTCAGCGAAGTTTCAGGGACATTCACTAAATAACTGCTGGGCTAAGGGACCAGATCTTATGAACAACCTGCTCGGCAAACTCGTGAGATTTAGAGAAGGCCCAGTCGCATTTGTCAGCGATATACGGAAGATGTACCACGCCATAAAGATATCAGTTCTTGATCAGCACACTCATAGATTTCTTTGGCGCGACATGTCACAGGATAGTGGGAGAAGTACATACGTCATGACGTCCATATCGTTCGGTGACAAACCTGCGGGAAATATCGCCACAGTTGCTCTACGCAAAACAGCGGAAATGCAAAAAGATGATCTTCGAAATGCATCAGATACCATCCTCAACAACACTTACGTTGACGACATTGCAGATAGCGTGGAGACTATGGTAACAGCACGAGAGACAACCGGTCAAATTGACGATTTGGTCAAGGTTGGTGGATTCCAAATCAAGCATTGGATCTATTCATCAGAGAATGTGAACGATGACAGCGCAAATAGATCACTGGGAAGCAAGTCGGTATGCGAGAAGCAGATACAAAATACTGGGACAGCATGCTCTGAAGGGGATGAACAGAAAGTTCTTGGTGTACGCTGGGATTCAAATAGGGCCAATTTTGTTTCAAAATGCAACTTAACTTTACCCCAAAGATTAAGAAACTACGAAGTGGACCAAATCTCACTCAAGAACAAGTTCCAGTGCTTATTCCGCCCATACTAACGAAACGGATGGTGTTGTCGCAGATTAACGGAATATAAGATCCACTTGGACTCGCAGCCCCATTCACCGTGAGGGCAAAGATACTTATGAGAAAATTGTGGATAGGAGAATCGAAAGACCTGACCTGGGACGATCCAATCCCCGCCTCGTTAAGAGAAGAGTGGTTGCGATTTTTCATTGAACTTTTCAACATGGAAAAGGTCACGTTTAGAAGGTGTGTGAAACCAAGCCAGCCCTTGTGATGTTCAGTGATGGATCAGACCAGGCATATGGTACATGTGCATATGTAAGATGGCAGCTTGAAAATGGGACTTTTGGTGCCAATCTTCTAGCAGCAAAGAGCAGGGTCACACCAATTCGAAAGACGACAATCGTTAGAACGGAGTTGAACGGAGCGTTGCTTTCGAAAAGGCTTAGTGCTTTTATCAAGAAAGAATCTCGCTTCATTTTCGAGAAAGAATATTTTTTCGTGGACTCGGAGATAGTTAGAGCAATGATTCAGAAAGATTCGTACGGATTCAACACCTATGCAGCCGTGCGAATTGGCGAGATTCAAGAAGGAACTTCTCCGAGTGATTGGCATTGGATTGAAGGGAAACTCAACATAGCTGACTGGATAACGCGGGGGAAGAATCCGAGCGAGCTTGACAAGAACAGTCTTTGGCAGACAGGGCCAGACTTTCTTCACCTACACGAATCAGAATGGCCAATCAAGAAATTTGTATTACCGGATCACCTGCCTGAAGAGACCAAGGCGGCAATGATCATTAAAGTTGAGTCGAGAATCATACTGTCTCATGCCATTGATATTCTACGATTCTCTTGCTATTATCGTTTGCTTCGGGTGACTGCACGCATTGCAGCTATCGGCAAAAAGACCCCGAAACCATCGTTGAAAAATCTTGCTGCACCAGTCGAAGCGGAATGTGTACAGAATGCTGAGCTTCTTTGGATCAAAGAAGCGCAAAAATCGTTGCAGCAGCGCTTCGAGAAAGGAAAGTTTAATCGACTTAGCGCACGAAAGAGAAAAGATCGAATCATCGTTGTTGGTGGGAGAATCCCAAAGTCGTCTGAATCTAGTTACGATGAACAAGAATTGATCCTGATGCCGTCCGATTATCGAGTGTCTCGTTTGTACGCGGAACGTGTCCACAGTAGAGGTCACAATGGAGTATCCACCACTATGAGCAAGATTCGAACCCGCTTCTGGATCCTGAAGCTGCGCAAGATGGCTAGGGCTATCAGAGAGCAATGTGTCATCTGTCGCAAAAAGCAGAAGATTTTGGAAAGTCAAGTGATGGGAACATTGCCGAAAGAACGTGTGTTTGTCGAAAGAAAGACAGTCTGTTTTGAGGCCGCCAACCTAGTTAACGAACGGCCAATTGGTATTCATCCGACGAGTCCCAGCGACGACACATATCTTAGCCCGAATCACTTGCTTCTCGGTAGAGCGTCGGTAAGAATTCCCAGTGGACCATTTAAGGAAACGAAGAACGAAAGGTTGCGCTTTGAATTTGTCCAAAGATTGGTGAATGCGTTCTGGAAACGATGGATCCGTGATTATTTCCCGAGCCTATTAATACGACAGAAATGGCATGTTGATAAACTAAACGTGTGTGTCGGAGACGTTGTTATGATTCAAGACTCGAACAGTATTCGTGGACAATGGAAAGTTGGTCGCGTATCGAAAGCCTTGGTTGAAGACGATGGAAGAGTACGCAGGGTCGAAGTACAGTACAAGTGTTTGCCAACGAAAGAGACAAAGGTATACAAAGGACAAGCTTATACGACAATCGAAAGGCCTGTGCAAAGATTGGTTGTAATACCTTGGTTCGCAATAATTTGCTGCCCGGAGTGTTTTGATCAGATAAGTTTGTAATTGCGAACTTGGGACTGGGAATAGATTTTCCCGCCAAAAGAAAACATTAGAATAATTCATTAGTTTTGGTATGCATGCTAGCTTGTAGGTTGAAATTTATATCTCCGTTGAGAACTGTTTGGACTGGTTTATTCTCCGTTGAGAACTGTGGAAGCTGTCTCCGGCGAGACATATATACATGACTTGGACTTATGAGAGCCCATAGTGTAAGTACGTTAATTAATGCCTCATTTGGCCTGTTGTAATGTGGGATTAGGGGTAATTATTTATGTAAATTCATATTTTGTT